CGCATTAAAGCACTGCTATAACATTATAATTTCCCTTTGGGGATAAATAAAGTATTTTTTATCTATCTTCTAAACCTCACTGTCCCAGGTTCACATCAGGCCAGAGACCTTTCAGTGCATGTCATCCCTGTCTCTCTCTGACCTCACAATTCCTGTCCTAGTTTAGCGTGCTACCATGCTAACATTTTTTCCCAGGAACAGAACACACAAGTAGGAACTGAAGCTGAAATGTAAACCAAAGAACTGGACATATTAAAACATTTCACCTATTGGGTAAGTTAAGGGACCATCAAGTGATATCTAACTATAACTAATCCTGAAGGGAACATGAATGTCTGAACCAAATGTCATGGCAGTCTCAGTAGCTGAGATATTGGACCAAACTGGTGGACTGGCTACCCACAGAGTGGCTGAGAGACAGACTATAGTCTATAGAATCATGCTGCTAGCATGGCTAGACACTAGCTCAGTGTCCTGGGTCACTTATTAGTGGCTGTGTGGACTACAAATAACTTATTTTTGTTGACATTTTGGTACATACACTTGTTCGCTTTCTTCCTGAGCGTTAGATGCAAAGGTTGAGTTCTGTCGACTAATAATTCCTATTTCAAATACAATACTTTACTACTTAAATTACTTACTTACTCAAATAGTAAATAACTTAAATAATTAGAATCAATATAGTGTATGTGTAATGTTTTAGGAACCACTCATAACAACGAACCTCAAAGAGATCAAAACTAAACCCTGTGCTCACCGTCTGCAGGGACAGAAGTGCTAAATGTGAAGTGATAAACTGTTCATCCAGACACAGCTCCAGCCATTGTTCCTGTCAGTGAGCTTGATTTATTCACAGTGCTTGTACATGTACATGATGTGTAAATACAGTTCCCATGATGCTTTGGAGGGATGTAAACAGGAAGTATAATGTTGGCATGAAGTCAGCGAGCCCTGTTATTTTTAGCCTGTATTTGCCTATATTTAGGCACATTTGCACCATTAAAAGTGTGCTGATTTAGCTATTAGCACCTTGTGTTGGCACTGCACCTATGGCAGAGGTTGAAGGTAACCAATACGTTATTACTGTACTTAAGTCGTTTTTCCAGGTATCTGTACTTTTTTACTTTTACCCCCTACATTTTTACACAAATATCTGTACTTTCTACTCATTACACTTTAAAACCAGACTCATTACTTTAGTTTTAATGCATACAATACTTTAATTTGGAGGAAATTATTGTTATTATAATTGTTTACATCATTGCACACCTTCCCAACATCAAGGCCGCTACATTTCAGAGCCTGTACTTTTTTCCTTTTACTTGACTAAAGGATGTGTGTACTTGTGCCACCTCTGACCCATGGAGACAACTATGATTACTTTGATACTGAAGAAAACCTAAAAAAGTGAGTGGAGTGGACTGGATCAGATTTGTGGTTATTTGCAATGGACATTTGAAATAATAATCCTCCATCCTGGGTTTTAAAATACCTTAATTGCCTCCAAGAGCTGTGTCACAAAGTGTTTCCATCCCCTGTTTTTATGCTCAGTTTCAATTTTCACATGAAAACCTGTTTTGAAATGCTGGACATTCGAAATCTCACAGAAAGGTTTTTACTTTTGCTTGAGGCGGAGGTCTCAATAAAAGCAACCTGCGACAAAGTGCAATAGAAACCGCATATTAATCGTGACATACATTAAACATGTGACTTAAACAACATCCTCTGAAGCTTCTGCTGAAGAGACACAAATAGCTGCACACAAAATCACAAATCTATGTAGAGCAATGGTGCAATGCCCTACTTAGGTCACTTTCTTTTGCAATGGTTGAATGGCACCCTAGTGGAGAATTAGCGGTTGATATTGATGCAGCCAACTCCTAATATTTGCATCAGTGGAGGGAAATAAAATCCACATTAAATCACATTTCTTTTGCAGATTTGTTTTGGATATTTGTTTTAAATTTTGCGTTAAATTCCGATGGCAGCTTTACTTAAGCCACTGCCGCTGCTCCAACCACTGACTGTGTTAAGGAGTGGGCCAAATCAGCGGGCCAAAGTACAGTAATTAATTTCACATTGTCTTTAGAACACCAACATGCATCTGTCTCACATCACCCAGTGTCTTTGCCTCATGTCTCTCCCTCTGCATCTCCTGTTCAATCGTGCCCCTCTTGGGGAGGTGCAATG